GTTGAAAGAGCGAAAGGCGTATACTTCTCAGAGTATATTTCTTTGTAGAGTTCTGACTTTTGGAATCTTTTAAGTATTTCACAAATACAAAAAGGAAAATCAAATAAATGAGAACAGGAGGAAAGTTAAAACTGGATATAAATAAAACAAATAAACCTAATTCTACATTTTTAAAATAACCACACAGGAGGAAAAAAAAAGTACACTTAAATTTTGAATAAAATACTTTTTGATTCACTGTTTTTCATCTAAAGGTGTAAAAAAACTGTAAGGAAATATTAAACTTTTGACTTTGTTCGTGAGGGTCTAGGCATAGCAATTCTGAAATTACAATGTGTGTATTGTAAGATTAAGCGAATGAGTAAAGATGCCGATGCCCTTACTGTAGGAGACAAGAGGAACCTGGAGGGAGGGAGGACCAGCAAGCACCCTGTGATGTGAGATTGGGATTGGAGGCGTCAGGGCAAATTCATGCTGTGTGTATTTACTCTGGAGAGGCCTTAAAATGATACAACTCTAGTAGCAAAAGGCACACCCAAATTTGAAACATAGCATACTATGAGTAAGCAAGTGCTCAAGGAAATAGAGAATGAACATAAATTACATTGATGGGGTTCCCACTGGTTAAATCTAGGATAGGAATGGATTATATAACCCTATGAATTAAAAAGAATCCTTTAGTACACTCTGATAATACGTATCCACAAAGGCAGAAAGGAAAGCTCTCTTTACAGTAAGTGGCAACTAATAAATGTGTTGGGAGAGTTTTTTTTAAAAAATCTTAATTTTGCAACCATCTTAGTAATTCAGGCAAGAATCTTCTTTTTTTTTTTTGAGACAGAGTCTCAAGCTGTTGCCCTGGGTAAAGTGCTGTGGCATCACAGCTCACAGCAACCTCAAACTCTTGGGCTTAAGCGATCCTCTTATCTCAGCCTCCCAAGTGGGTAGTACTACAGGCTCCCGCCATTATGCCCAGCTATTGTTTGGTTATAGTTGTCATTATTGTTTGGCTGGCCTGGACTGGATTTGAACCTGCTCCGGTGGACATGGCTGGTGCCCTAGCTGCTTGAGCTACAGGCGCCAAGCCCAGGCAAGAATCTTCAATGGCTACCAAAAAGGTTTTGTGGAGAATAGTATCAAAGTATCTATCTACATATCATTCATTACCACAATTACAAAGGGAAAACTGACAGCAGTGGCGAAATGTGTGGAAATGTCTAAACCAATTAATCAAAGTTGATTATCACCAATAAGGAGATAAAGGTACATTATATGCACCCTGTTAAGGTACAGAGGGTGAAACTCACTTCTGTGGTTTTCCTGTCAAGAGATGCATACAGGGAAAATGCAAAGCTTAACTACGAGGGAAAAGTCAGACCAATCCACACTCAAGGATACTCTACTGAACTCGCCAAACACCCACTGGGTTGAAGCACAATGAATGGCGAATGCACTCTTTCAGGTTGAAGACCAGAAAGACAGAACGACTAAAACACAGTGCAGGGTCCTGGACTGGATCACAGACCTGGAAAAGGCATGCTTGAAAGGGTACGGTGTGTGTTAGAATCGTGGGCGAAATGTGAAATGGATAGCATGTTAGATCATATTAATGTGAAATGTCCTGAATGTGATCGTCGTACTGTGGTTATTAAAAAGGATAACCTTGTTCTTCGCAAAGTACAGGTAGGAAAAGTGTAACACAATGAGATTCAGTAGAACAGCCAGGGGAGTAGGCCAGCACGCGTGGGAGAGGGGGAAGACCAGGAGAGGAAAAAGCAGAGTTTACCCAGAAACATTCCAGCACATGTCTCTTGGTAAACAAATATACACATCGCATTTGGGTAAATGCCAAAGAATCAAATGTGCTGGCCAGCCATGCACGTGCTTAGCTTTAGTGGATACTGACAAATATGTTTTCCTAAACTGCAACACTTCACATTCCCTTTAAACATAACTTTCATTGGCTATTCTAATACTTTTGGAAATTACCAGTTAAAGCCTTGCACCTTTTCCTCTGTTGAACTATCTTATTAATTTATACACTGTGGATGTAAATATGAATATCAGATCTCTATCACAAAAATCTTTCATTTTTATTGAATGCCTTCTTTTAGTGAAGTGCATAAAATTTTAATGTAGCATGTTTTTTTTTCTTTTAAACTTAGTGCTTTTTGTGTCCCATGTAAGAAATATATGCCTCTTCTAAGGTAATAAAGATTTTCCGCTATGGTTTTTTGTTGTTTTGTTTTGTTTGAGACAGAGTCTCACTATGTTGCTCTCAGGAGTGCTGTGTCATCACAGCTCACAGCAACCTCAAACTCTTGGGCTTAAGCGATTCTCTTGCCTCAGCCTCCCAAGTAGCTGGGACTACACTACAGACGCCCGCCACAATGCCCGGCTATTTATTTATTTTTTGTAGTTGTCATTGTTGGTTAGCAGGCCTGAGCCGGGTTCCAACCTGCCAGCCTCAGTGCACGTGGCTGGTGCCCTAACCACTGAGCTATGGGTGCTGAGCCTCTGCTATGTTTTTAAACTAACATCTTTATTGCTTTTCACAATTAGATCAACAATCTATAATTAATTTCTGGTGTGAGATGAATCAAGCTACTTTGTTCCATGCAGATATCCAATTAACCCACATCACGTATTGAAAAGACCATCTTCCCTTAGCACAAGTCCCGCCTTTTTGTAAGTCCAGTTCATTTCTCGACTTTTGCCCAATACCCCATTGTCCTTACTGAGCTTTTCATTAGATCATGATCAGGTATTAAAGGTCACACCCTCATTCTTCAATGTTAACGTAGCTACTCTTTGCTTTTACATTTCCATATAAAATCTAGAACCACCTTCATTTTCACAAAAATAAGTCTGAGATTTTCACCACCAATATAATTTTAAGGAACTGACATCTTTTAATCAATATTGTCTACCAATCATGAATATAGTATAACTTTCCTATATTAGACCTTTTCGTTATAAACCTATTATTTTCAAATAGTGATATTTTAAATTTTGTATTTGTTATTTGTGGATAAGAAACGAAGGGGTTTGTTTTGCTTTTGTTTTTTGAATATTGGAATAAGACGGTAGCCCTTATTTCCTAATATGCTAGGAGTTTTTACCATAAACAAGTATTGAAATTAAATAGTTCTTTTGCTTTTATAGAGACGATCATAAAATTTTTCTTTCTCCTGTGTATGGGGTAAATGGCACCAATTCTAAAATGTTAAATATTGTCTTCCTAGAATGAAATATGGTCAATAAAATGTTATTCTTTTATTCATTGCTGAGTTTGATTTGTAATTATTTTTTTAGGATGTTCTATGTTCATAAGAGACTATCCTTTAATTCTGATAAGATTCTGGCATCAAGTTGTGCCAGTTTCTAAAAGCAGTTTTAACAATGCTCCCTTTCCTTCATATCCCAAAAGAATCCAACTAAAACAGATACTAATTTTTCTTTAAATATTTAGAAAAATTACACAGTGAAACCATCTAGATCTTTGTTTTTTGTGGAAAGGCATTTTTAAAAAAATTAACATTCAAAGCTCGGCACCCTTAGCTCAGTGAGTGGGGCGCCAGCCACATACACCGAAGCTAGCAAGTTCTAGCCCAGCCTGGGCCTGCCAAATGACAACTACAACCAAAAAATAGCTGGGCGTTGTGGTGGGTGCCTGTAGTCCCAGCTACTTGGGAGGCTGAGGCAAGAGAATTGCTTAAGCCCAAGAGTTGGAGGTTGCTGTGAGCTGTGACTCACTCATAGTAAGACTCTGTCTCAAAACAACAACAAAAAATTAACATTCAAATTATGTCATATAACAGTTTTATTTCTCTGGGTCAGTTTTAATGAATTCTGTTTTCTAAGCTGTCTCTCTGTTTCACCTACACTGTAGTTTAGGATGCAAAGAGGTTCACCGCAGCCCCTCATCTTGTAAGGTTTAGAAGCTCTGTAGGGACGTCTCCTTTTAAGTTATTCACAATGGCAGTTTTTTCTTCTCTTGATTTTTCTCAAAGTTTACAATTTTATTCTTAGGAATTTTGTTTTCTAAATATGTTTTGTCTTACTAATATGTGATTGCTCATATCTTTCTTGTGTCCCACTTTCTATTTTCTTTAGGTTTAATCAGCCATTCTAGCTCCTTCAGATGGAAATTTAGAAACTTTTCCTTTTGCCTGTCACTTAGTATCACAAAGATCTATCAAGAATCCTTTTTGATCCAGTTTACAACCTCAAAGTATTTCATCTATAGGCTATGACTTCAAATCTGTAAGTTGACTTTTAAAGCCTTTTATCTTTCATAATGGAAGACAAAATGTGCCACACCCTGCAAATCGAATTCTCCAATCATTGTACTGTACAATCCATGACTAACTTCATTCTGCCATCTGCTTCCTACTTCTCCTCTTTGTACATTGCTCATCTCCATGAATACACCCAGATTCCTAAGTGAAAAACCTGTGAGCTACCCTTGACTCTTTCTGACATTTAATCAATAACCAGTTTAGGATCATCATAATTCCTAAGTCCCTTCCAAATCCAGACCCCCTTCCTTATTACTACAACTATTCTTATTCAGGCTTCATCATTTTTTCTCTGAACTTCACATAAGGTTTATTTACTGTTCTTGTCTCTAGATTTTCCCTCTACTAATCTGTTTTCCACAGATATTTTCCTGAAGTGTAAATTTGATCATGTCATTCCCTCTCTCAAATGTTAACTGCTCCTATGGGATTATAAAAAACTCAAAACTTCTTGGTTCTCCGCACATAAAGCTGCACTCTCCACGAAAGATGAAAATAATACACTTTAAAAATATCAAATGACTTGCATCTCCCCATGTGCCAACGGCTCTCTCCCGTCTCCACCGTGGAGCTCCTACCACTTGAACACATCCTCCATCACTGATGCCGCCACCACCACATTTTACACATAAAGACGAATTTAATTAAAGACTTTTAGATATGAAAGTAATTGGATTATCCAATAAATCAAAACTCAAGTTTGTATTTATGTATTTGATTTTATTTGGTATACACCACTATAATCTTATTGTAATTGAAATCCATTACAGGATCTTCTTTTTTTTTAATAATTAGTCAACTCCACAAAGACAATAATACTGCTGTGGAAGACCAAAGGGGGAAAAAACTGATATATTTATTTACAATTCCCTATACTGTAAACATTTAATCTATATACTGTTACTGACTTACAATAAGAGCGCTTTACATAGACAAGGAAACGATGCCCTATATTTCTATTTGTATTCAGCAATAGCATATTGTAATAGAACATCTTATTTTCCTTTCCATTCGCATAATGCTTTCTTTAAATAATTATCTAAACTTTCAAAAGAACTAAATATATTCAAGTGCTATACAACTAAATCTACTTAAGCCAACATATTTGGCTTATAATTTCATTTTTAGAATAATTTAAAGTGCTATAAGCAACCTGGCAATCAACACTTTCTATAAGAACAAAACTACCTTTAAAGATTAATTTACAAGATATACAGTGTTTATCTGGAATAGCTGAAATTTCAGTACAAAGTCACTGTCACATGTATAACAGCAGGTTTTTCTGGTTTTTTTGCATAACATGAAGCTTCAAAATTAACTGATGAATTATTGCCACGATGGCTTATTACTGGTTTCCTACAAAAGAGGATAAGAACTACTAGTGTATTCTATCTTTTCAATTTTTTTTTTTTTGAGGTCACTTGACAGAAAGTTTGCATATTCAACAAGTCTATTGAGTTACAATATTGTCTACTATAATCATTGCCCTTTTATCAGAGCAAATGCTAATGGTATTAAGAACATATGCCACTCAAACAAATCACAAGTTTTTTTTTCCTTTTGAATAGGAGTAACCTATATTTTGGGAGTTGATAGGCAACAAGGATAAAACAACCAAACTGTAAAACAGCATACTTGACACAATATGTTGAAGAAATACGCATCTGTTTCATAGTTTTTGTACTGATGATAATGCCCTACTTAACTACACATATGTAAATAGTATATATTCTTGCTTAATATATGGAAATCCAATAGAATCATTAAGTTCTCATTCTCCTTTGTAATTTTGTAACTCATTATCCGATAATTTATTGATGAAAGCATATGCCCAAACCTACAGATCATGTGCACTGTATATGGCCTACTACAACCAAACTTCTTCTCAAATTTCATTTTTATTAAAATGAAACTGAGAATACCTGCAAAATTATTAAAGAGAATGTCGTAGTATGAATTAAAATTAGAACTCAGTGGTCTATGAAGTATGTATTATTTTGGCTTGTGGTTTTTCCTTCATAAGAATAATCTGAACATGTCCAAATGTCACCTGGGCCAACCTCATAGATACAGAAGTATCTAATCTTCACTTCCTCAATTCTCCAATTAGATTGCTCTAGTAAAATTATCAATATAGTTAAAAAAAGAAAACAATAAACCAAAATAGATTCAACAAAAGAGCACCATCCTATTAGGAGACTAAGAATAACATGAACTGAAAATGAGGCTGTTGCTATGATCAAACTGTTGCCAAAATTCTGACAACACCCAAGCTGTTATACTAGTGCATGAACCCAGGCCATGGCCTAAACCTAAACAACTCTGGAACAGAAACATGATTTGAAAAATAAACTCCAAAATCATAGCTATAATAAATGGTGAAACAGACGACTTTTAAAGTATGAGTGACATGTTACACTGTATTGCTTCTTGAACTTTCCAAACAATGCTTGTCCATGTCAGGTTTGGGCCATTATTCTGCTGAGACAGAGAGCACTGTATTTATTCAAAAGCCCAGATTTCAATGTCTTGGATAAAGAAATCTTCCTTCTTAGAAAGTGTATGATTCCCAAATGTTTTACAAGAATGGCTTCTTCCATGGTAGAGATCTCCATCAAGCCAAAGGGCAAATTCTCCTCTGCAATACATAAAAACAATAATCTCTTGATATTTATACCCTACATTGTAAAACAAATTTAAATTAGACATTACAATATCCTACAACCCTAATCTCGTTAAATTTCCCATATCCTTCCCTGCTCCTTTCCACAGAGGAAATTTTGACATAGGCAATTTTGTTTTATTCCTATCCTATTAGAAAATCATGTATAATACAAATTAAGGAATAAAATGTGAACTTTAAAACTGACATAAATAGCTATATCTTTTGATAAGGTACTACTCTGTTATTCTTCACCTGGTATTATGCATTTTTCTTTACATACAGATTTTTAGCATGGTGTTTTGAACATTTTTTTGGTATGGTTACCAAAGTTGACATAACTTTCTCAAAGGCATGAAAAATCCATACCATTTAAAATAAAATGTGAGATTAACGTGAAGGACATGGTGAATAAGTTTTAAGTTTCCTTGAGATATGTTAAGAGAAGAATTCTGCTGTTAAGTTGGATCATTGGTATGAGCAACTAGAATTTATTTTTTCTCTAGCATGCTAAACTTTATGAAAGCAACTCTGGTTTTCTGAGTAGGAAGTAGTGAGCAGAAGAGCTCAGCTTAAGAAAAGTTTAAATGGATAAATATGTAATGCTGAGATTCTTTATCAAGCAAAAGGATCAAGATAGAAGCCAGGTCTAACAATAACTTCAAAGATAGATAATAAGGTCCAATTTATCTAACTGGAATTCATAACCCAGAAAAACAAAACAAAACAGAACAAAACAGGGTCTTCTAGGGCTTCTTTATACCCTATGTAGAACTTTTCTCTACCTAATAGAAGAGTATTAACATAATATCCAGAGACATCCCTTGGAGATTCTCTAAACTTTACCTAAGGATATCAAGCCAGCAGAACTGAGCCTGAGTTTAGAAGAAGGGGATTTTTTAAAAAAATATGAGGAATTATATTTCAGTGGGGAGAAAAAAATGGCCTGAGATTAAGATCTGTGGACTCAATGGTCCACTGTCTATGTGAATCTGTGTTAAATTACTTAACCTCTCTGGGGTGGAATTTGTCAATTAAATGTATTAAAAAAGAGAAACAGAGAAACAAAATCAAAGTAGGTAATCTCTGAAGGCCTACACAGCCCTAAAAGTTGAATGGGCATAACTTCTGACCTTTAAGGTTGCCAATGGTAGTCACGCGGCACCATAGGGTTAAATGACATGAAGAGGAACTGATCTATTTTAAATATTATCTTAGAAAAAAATTTATTTATATTCTATAATTAAAAGCAGCATTAGATATAAAGTTATCAGACATTAATGTATGTGTGTGTATACATACATATGGTTCTAAGTATAGATGTCTTTCTGCTTATGCAGAGAAGGGTGGACACATGGGCCATGTAAAATGGTTCCTGAACGAGTTGGTACTTTACAACAAAATGGAAAGGACTCATCCGTATGGTCACTCGCAATGACCATGTCAAGCAGGTACAGAGATCTTCCAGTGCCATTTAAGAAAATCATAAACTATAATGAGATAACCAGTGATGATGTTTTAATGAGCCTTCTATCCAAATGAAAACAGTGCTTTGCTAAGATACAAGATGACCCTGAAAATCATGCCAGTCCAGACTCTCTGATATGAATGAAGACACTGAAAAAGAGATGGTCTCTAAAATGGTCCCCTGCCCCTGTGAGGAAGCCATATTTTTTAAAGGTTCAAATTGGAATTCGTATTTGACTTATTTATCTGTCCATCTTTAAATGTGTATTTATCATGCATCAGATACCAGCACTGGAAAATATAAATTAGAAACCGAATTTGAATTAAAAATATACTGCCTTAGGACAAAAGACTTCTAGAGTCTCTAATACTAATGGCATATTATGCTTTTAATGAGATATTTATAGTGGGAATAGACTATCATAGTTAATACATTAGAAAGGAGAATATAAAAGGGTTCAACTTTCTTGTAAAATCCTTTTGGGGGGCAATATGAAAGGGTTACAAAAAAGGGAGATTAGACATTCAGGTTTAATCTCAGATGACTAGTAGTAAGAACTACCTCACAGTTGACCTTCAAGAATCACACGAATGGCATTAATTCTGCAATAATCTTTACCAGTGTTTTTTTTCCCAAGGCAATCTGAACTTTCCAAAGTCCCGATTGAAAGCTTTTGAGATTTTTAGTATCATATGTAAAATGTAGTTTGTATGTTCATTTTAGAACAATAGATTCCTCATCATTTCAATAACATTTCAAAGGGGTATGTGACCCACAAATATTTAAGTGAATGTATTGAAAAGGTTATAGAACTGCCCTAGGCAAAGCACATAGAAAATATATTTGTATGTGAACAATGCTTTCAAAGATCCATATGACTTTCTGAGAACAGGATGGCTAAGGAAGTAAAGAACAAAGCAGTCTTCTAAATCCTTAGCATCATGTAACTTATGTGTCCAACCACAGTGCAGGTAGAACCTGGTAGAAAGAACTCTTTCCAGAATACCAGGAGGGGGAAGATGATTTGGATACGAGGAAGTGAGTAAAGGTGGCTATCATTTGTTGAGTACCTCCTACACTGTACATAGTATAACAAGATTTGTACAGAGATTGTCTTTATGAATTCCTCACAACCTCCCTGTATCGGTGAGTTAATCTCCAGTAACAGCTGAGGAAAGTTTAGATTGATTAAGGAGTTTTCTCAAGTCTCACATACAGTGTACACTCAAGCTGGAGTATGGATCAGGTCTGTCGCACTCCAAAGCCTGCAGTAAAGTACACCACATCATGAGCTTTCTTTTTTGGAGTTTCCTGCTTGGAATTCCAAAATATCAAGTCCCTGTTTTCTGAACCTCAATTCTTCCTCAAAGACTGGAAACTCATCTTCATTTGTTATCAAATGACCCAATGGTTAGTTTACCACAGTGCAATCGTGTTGTATAATCAAAATCTAGTTCCAGCAGACATCTAATGACACTGTATGTTATTTTCAAAAACTTAAGGCACCAGCAACTACTTGATACTATAAGCCACTGTCTGATAAGGCCTGTTTTGAGAATTAAAAGAAGTTAATGTAAGACTACCATTTAGAGGAAGGCTGAAGGGTATCCCCACTAAAAACAGGTGTGATGGGATCATGTGGACAATATATGCTGAGTCCAACAACTCACATTAACAGACAAGGGTTCAATAACCACAATCGTTTTTTTATATAATAAAATTATATCCTCTAGATATCTATTTATAAAGAAGTTGTAAGAAAATTTGTTAGGATCATCTGGGATGATGAATATTCTTGAAGGCTAACAACATTTTGCAGTTTGAATAAATTATCATTACATAATCCTCAACTGTAGTTTACAAATAATGTAACACTTTTACAAGTATAAAAATTACTTAGCATACCAATATCTAATAATGAAGGACAGAAGGAAATAGCAAAGGAAGTAGCTGATGCTTGCTAAGCGCTACTTGAGAAGTCTAGGCTGGCTAACAGAGCAGACTTCTTCCAAACACTGCAGAGACCAAATGAGGTGTTAGGGTACCAAGACAAGAAGACAAAGTTCATCGTGCTTGCTATGCCAGAATATTCGAATTACTAACTGACTTATACAGTTATAAACAAAATAAAAAAGCAAACAAAAGACCCCTGAAATCTCAGAGATCATTAAAATGTTTTTTGGGTAAACCAATATCTGTTATTGCCTAAAATATCAACCCAAATGGTTTTCAGAGTTCAATAACATGAAAACAACTGGATCTACTCTGTACATTGGGAGAAATAACATTCTACTATGATTATTTGAAAATCTGAGAAGTTCAAAGATACTAGGATATTTCCCTTTAAATATTAAATAGCCACTGTCCTCTAAAGGAAAAGATGGCTTTTTATCAAAAGTAAATCAATGAACACAATTTTTAAAAGAAATACCAATAGTTGAAAATACTGTACTTGAGGTCCTTCTTACAAATATATACTTTCTTTTTCATACTATACAAATTAGAATTCTAATGTCAAAACTTTCTAAAGATAACTGATTTTATAAATAACTCAAATACATTTTTAAAGTTTCTTCAAAAATCTCATGGGGCAATGTTCAAGAGACTTACCCTCCACCACCAAAAGCTAGTGAATCCATGTCTCCTTTGATAAAAAACATATTATCTCCTGTCCACTTAAAGACCTATACAAGTAGATGAAAATGGTTACTATACAGAGTTTATTCTCCAAAACCCAGGAGTTAATAAAGCCAGACTGATAATAAAAGGAATAACAACACAAAAAGCTTGGCACAGAAGGATGGTAGGTTGTGTTATAGTATCTATATGACTAAATTGAAAGGGCACGCTCTACTGTAACAGAACCTTTAATTCCAGTTTCTCAAATCTTGTTTAACACTTCACATATATTCCTTTCTTCTGACTAGGTACCAAGAGTTTGATGATTAATGGAAACAACTAAAAAAAAGCGGCAAATCAGCTTAAAAAAATGGACAGAAATGCCATTACTTTTAACATTAAACATAAAAGGTGAAAGATTTATATAATCTGAAAAGAAACCAGAGTATCATTAAACATAATTGTGTATTAGTTTGATAACATTTTAATATTTAAATATTTTAAATTTATTAATTTAAACATTTATTTAATATTTAAATATTTATTTAATATTTAATTATCTATCCTAAGGCCAAGATCTTGCCTTAGGACATATGTTTGCTGATCATCATTCTTATATAAACCATATCCATAATATGCACTATAATGTCCAGTTTCAATTTCTTTATGTAACAGGGAGAACTCGAGTAAATCCGAAAGTAAAACTAGATGCTGCTATTCTTAAACTTTTTCTAACCTTTCGTGGATATTTTACCTAAACCTAATGTAACAGCAATTTCTAGCACTATACAAGTTTTCCGAAAGTATCCATAAAACTTTAACATTCCTATTTTCACAGTTACATAACATTTAATTAATTATATCATTATAGTTATTAGGTAGCATCAGCATAAAATGATTTGAAAATGAAGCTTAGAGAATTTGTGACGAAGCTTTCAGTTTGCCGCAGGTATCACTGGATGTGTTTTGTGAAAAGAATGGAAAGCACTGGTTCATCTGGTGAGTTGAGTCTTGTGAGTTAAGTACAAGTTGGTTAAGAGAACCACTATTACCAAATCCTTCGTATTTTGTTCATTATGAAATTTGTTTCTAAAGGTCACTCTTTTATATTTTTACCTAATGGTATTGATTCCTTTTCTCAAGTTTAAAATATAATTTCACCTATGAGGGAAGGTCTGACATGCTGTAATTGTGCTCAATGTTTTGAGAAGAGTTAAAACTAAACAGGTTAAACTAAAATTCATTTATGCCTTCACCTTTTAGACCTTATTAGAATGAGAATGTATTCAATTTAAATTAGTTAAGCCACACTAAAGATAGTAAAATAAGGTGTAAAGGAAAAGAAATCAGTTAAACACCTTTGATTTAAATTCAAATAATTTGTTTTTTAAGTTTTGAAGGCTTACAGCATTAAACTCAGTCATTAAATGTTTCTAGAAATTTTACAATGACAATTTATAACCCTAACAGTGATAATGACGTGTAGTCCTTACTGAGTCTATGACTCTCATGACTGATGCTGTGCCAAACAGTGTCTGTGTATAAATCTCATTCAATTTTCAAACAACTGTAATATTTTATAATTTCCATGCTATTGACAGGAAGAGTAAAGTTCAAAATGGTCCACTAAAAGTAAGTAAAATTTATAGATGAGAATCAAATCTAAGTGTGCATGACTTCAAAGAACATGTTCTTTTTATTTCTGCCATCGCTTTACAAACAGAATATTGGAAAAGTTGTCCTTACCTCAAACTCTGGACAGAAGGTAAAAACAAAGGTCTCTCCAGTACCATAAAAGCCATCACTCACTTTAAATGGCTCAGATGCTAATGCGCCAAAAACCTAAGGATGAAAAAAGGCAGGTTAAACGATACGACTACTAAATTGTTTAATTAGACATCCCATCACGTGCTTACAGAAAATGCAAGAAAAAGAGAATCTGGTACAGTTTTATCTAATTACTTGTACTTAAAATGGGAAAAACGATGAGTTGCTATATAATACACATTACTGTCAACTACAAAATATAAAGACAACAGTTTCTCAATGTAGAAAAACAAATTTTTCCTAGTTTTGAAATCTGAAAAAGTATTTATTAAAGCAACTAAACAATCTTAAAAAGTGGTTAACAAATTTCAAAAGGAATTACATGAAAAATGTACATAATATACGAATAACACGTGCTATGAGATTGTAGCAGTTAGAGAAACAAAAACCCTGCAGTACTGGTAAACATTCTACTACTTAACAAATATGCTGTTTTTCTTCATCATTAATAGACTCCATGAGGGCAGATGTTGAGTCTGAATTGTTTTTCTCTTTAACCCCCTGCCCTTTCAGTGTATGAAATACAGCAGACGCCCTAATGGGACAAAGAATGATAGGAGACCTAATCACGTCACTTCAGTCCTCTGAGGTGAGGTGTCCACGTCATAAACAGGAGTATAAAGTTTGACAGATTATCTCTGCAGTTATTGTCTATCTGTACATCTTATCTGTATGGTCTTAACTTTTATAAGATTTCCTCATTGAAAGGTCATTACTCATATATATATATGTATACAAAATATTTAATAAATGTACAGTTTAGAATTATCACAAAGCTCCACGTGGCCTTTCTCCAGATCAAGAAATATCACAACACTGTAGAGGCTCTCCTTATGCCTCCTGTGGTCAACAGTCCCACCTCCCTGAAACAAGCCACTTAGCCTGATGCCACCACAAATTTGTTTTGGGCACTTGTAAGCTTTCTATACATGCAATCATAAGGAAGTTACTCTTTAGTGTCTGATTTGTAAGTCAATATTATGTCTGTGATGCTTATCTATACCAGGGCCTATAGAAGTTCATTCATCTTCACTAGCACAAACACCTTTTCTTAGGTATGTAACCGTGGGTAAGTTGATGAACCTTGTTAACTCATGAAACAAAGATGATAACAGTGGCAATCTTATTGAGCTGTGATGATTAAAAACATAATGCATATTAAGTGATTAGTCATGTGCCTGGCACATAATAAACCCACTCAAGGTATTAATAGCACTACTAATTAGTAGCACTTTTGTTTTAATTAATATTGCTATTTCATCCTTTTGTTACTCTTCAATGCTGGTAACTGACCTGAGCTTGCTGTTTCAGAAACAAACCTAAGTTTCTCTCTTATCTGTCGTTTTGTTCCTAGGATCAACCTCACACTATTAACTATTAAAACCTTAGCAATGCTTTGAGACTCTCCAAAATCTCACCCTTTCCATTAACCCCGAAATTGATAGGAGCAACTCTTACTCTGACCACTCCTTTCACTTTTTCTGGGCTCTTAATATACTTAGCTTACTGGTATTTTGTTTAGCCTTAGAGGTATTGGTAGACGTAAACGTTCTTTTTTTTTTTTTTTTTTTAACCACATTATCATCTCTTTGAAAGCATAAACTCTTAATTATTCATGTTCATATCTATCTTGTGTGACACTCAGTGATGTCTTACAGGTTAAAAGTACCTAATGATTATCAACTAAAAAATAAAATGTATTAATGAATAATTTTTATCAAAGAAATATACTAAATATTACTGTTACTGATCTCTTAAAGGATAAGGTATCTAACACAGTTAGTTTTTCATACCTGGCCATCACTGTCTTTAATCACCATCAGCACTGGGGTGTCTAAACCTGTCATTGTTCGATACAGGGTCTTTAAGCTTGTGCCATGCTTTCCAGTACCATAAACAAGAGTCCATGGATAGCCAATTGTTCTTGGTGGAAGATGCTTGGTAAGCTTTGAAAAACAAAATGTCTGCATTTACTCGATAGCTTATTGTTCAATATGTAGGACACTAATGCCAACTGGAACTTAATAGACTTCCAAAAAGTAGGCTATAAAATAAATTAGCAGTAGAAATTATTTATCTTTATCAAAGATACTGAGATGCTTAAAAAGTAACTATACTTTTTCAGTATAAAATTGTCCATTAGGAAAAGAAAGAATCATGCTGAACCAGACACAAATTAGGAGACGAGAAACATGGATGACTTATTACTTAACTTTTCTACACGTACCCTAATTTTTTTTACTTATAAAAATGTGCATAATGAATATCTAATTTCTACAGCTGTTGTAACAACTAAATAAGATAATCACATATATCAAGTAACTACCACACAATAAGAAGCCAAATATTGGCTATGATAATGTTACTGGTGTTTATTTCAGTGTCTGCTTATCCAAATCTCCTAATACCTTCTTTTAACATTAGTCACTGTATTTTCCTTACTTTTTCTTTTTATTAGAGAGGAACGGTAGTAAACCCTGATGCTTCAGAACAACCTGAAACAAGTCTGTTTTATCCTCATAGACACATGTTCAAACATGTACATATGTGAGGATATGACATACCTTTTCAATTTGATCTGGCAGTAAAAGTTCACTGGGATCACTAAGGTTGGGTCGAAAACATTCAGACTCCAGTTCTGCTTTCACAGGAGCAACCTGCTTAGAATTTATGTCTTCCCTTGTAGTAATCTAAAAAGTAAACAGCAGCAGCATATTAATCTAAGATTGTGACACGCTGTCAACAACTTCACCCTTTTGAGATAAATAAAACTTTAGACCTTTAAAAAGGTGGCTAAAGCTTTAACTAAAGACTTTATAAGGCCAACAATGCCTCTTCCTAATATCAGTGTCATATCCAATGTAGAAAATATTTTATAATAATAAGCAACATTTTCTCATCCATTACATGAGGACAAATTGATACAAAACGATAAATCCCCGTATTTCTGTAGAAAAAGTGATAGCTGCATGCAAACTTTAAACTCTGAGGGGAAAAAGTTGGTCAGCTAGATTGCTTTTAATTTCTACTATTTAAAATATGTAGGATTTTATTTTATGATAAACACAAAAATTTGTCAAAAATAAAATATAATTAAGAAAACTTCGTGGGTGCCAAAATTTCAACATAAAGAATAGTAGAATAAAAAGTATAACTTTCTTTACATTAGTGTGTGTGTGTATTTATTTCATTTAAAAAGTTACCATTATTTTTTAAATGCTCTCAGGTTTTTACTTTCTAAACACTGAATTTTTTCATCTCAATAGATCAAACAATAATTTTTAAAATTACTTTGCTCACAAATCTGTTTTTAAAATTAGATAAATTTGATGCATTAAAGAGAGTATATGCTTTTGCTTGATGAAAATATTCTCAAAAGTATTATTAAAGTGATAAAACTGTTGATTAACTTAAAAAACTTACTACTAAATGATCTACTCTATTTGGAGCTTCCTTTTTATATTAAGTTCTATTAACATATATAATACAATGACATTAGAAAACAAAAGGCATGAAACATAACTATTTTTGTTGAAACTTCTGAATTATAAAATGAGCAGAATTCTACTGGAGCAGATAACTAAAATGCAGCAAAGCTCGGCGACTGTGATGCCATCCAGGAATGAAATCTTGCCAACTTATTTTGTTCCCTTAACAGGTTTCTCACCAAGCAGCACCTGAACAGCATATATTTTCAACCAACACATGTTGCAGAGCTGTATTGTTTTCTGATGAGAAGTTAAATAATAATTCTTTCACATCATCATCATGTTTTACCCTTATTTTGATGATGTGAAAGGTTAAAAAACAAACAAACAAAAAAGAAAGAAATCCAGGGCAGCAACAGAAGCATTGAAAGAAAAGAAAAAAATTCAGTAGGTCTAGCAAAGCCATGAAAGCATACCTTATTAAGAAGAGGGAAAGACACAACTAAAAATACACGAAACTGAAAAATGAGTTTTAAAATGTACTGCTTTCTTGTTTCTAAAACAAAAAAACCCCACTAAGATTATTTCACAGAATTATAAATCATTTATCTAGTTCTGGTGTCTACCCTAGACCATTCCGAAGTATTTCTAATACCAACAGGAATACTTCAAGAACAAAAACAATTTATCCCATTAAGATGTTTGATGTGGAGCTGATACAACTGAAATAGCCTTAAAAAAGAAAAATATTTAAACATTTAATTTGTAACTTTCCTATAGTTAACCCATTTGTCAGATTTTGTTAGTAAAGATTCCTTCTCGCAACCAAAGGCATTCTTCCAGTGTTAAATTAAATGAAAACTTATTGCCCAAAGAAACACAGTACTGAGAGTAGTTCTGAAATGACAGAAAATTCTTTAGAGTATTTTTCAAATGAAAAGATGACAGAAAAGATAATCCTATAGCTCTTCAAGGCAATACTGTAATCTTTAATGCAAGACAGAATTTTCTCAGGGGTCATTTTAGTGCTTTAGTCAAAACAAATCCCTCAAATGTGAGCTTTGCTTTGACAAAGGACACTAAAGAAGGGAGTACTCAATCTCCGGAGGGGTGGAAACTACGGAAAGGGGCACCTGGAGACGTCTGCAGAGTGTGCGCAGTTCTTCAGTATTTAGAGCATCGATCCTGCGGTGATACTCAGCCACTGACACTACCTGAATATGGAGACAGGAAGACAATAATTCCACTGGCAGTTGAGAAAAATAGCAAAAAAATTTAAAGGAGAAATTAAAATGGGAAAGGAGAACTTTAATCAGGATTTCTTTCCCCACTCTAGCTAAAAATTCAAGGTTTATATAGCAAACTTTGAACAGAGTGAAATACGTGTACACATGAGTTTCACTACTACATTCAACTACTTGACAACAGAATGTTATTTTACGGACTTCTTCATACAGACTCCATTTAATTTAGTACATAGAAATTATAGCTTTTGCTGCACAGGAAATACTACATAAAACACAACATGCCTTCTTAATATAAAAGCCAAAGTCTAAAATCTAAATGGTCTGGCAGATCACAAAGAAAAGTGATAGTTTGAACCATCCCTCCAGATTAGGTTTAGCTCAACCCTTATATCCTAATCGCCATGCTGGAGGAATTTCTTCTAGGCCCGGGTGACAAACATACCATCTATATCATGACAAAAATAGGGGAGAGAAGCAAGAAAAGCTATGAAGTACATTGTGAAACCTAAAGCAACGAGAAAAACAAGCTCTAGAAAGGAGAAAACTAGATTTTCAGAAACACATCTAATCAACAGTACCTCCCTCAGACACGTCTACTTTAGTCTAAGTACTGTTTTCTTCCTGGTTTTTGCCTGTCGTCTATCTTATTTCTGTAGCAGTTGTGACTAAAACTTGACTTTCCTACATTCTAACTTCCTGAAGGAAACTATCTTCTATAATTGCCCAGACCAGTTTCTTTCATAGTGCTAAATATGAAAGCTACATGTGACAGACAGACACTATTACGGGGCCAGGCATAGCAACTCACGCCTCTAAACTTAGCACTCTGGGAGGCCCAGGTGGGAGCATCAGTTGGGGTCAGGTGTTCAAACCCAGTCTGAGCAAAGTGAGACCTCATCTCTACTAAAAATAGAAGAAATGAGTTGGGCACGGTGGTGCATGCCTGTAGGCCCAGGAGGAATGCTTGAACCCAGGAGTTCAAGGTTGCTGTGAGCTTGGCTGACGCCATGGTATGGCTCTTGGGCGCAGACTGTGCCTCAAAACAACAACAACAACAACAACTACAACAACCACAAACACTATGAAGGAAAGCCCACAAAAACAGACAAGTTTCCTCAGGTTAATAAACCCTTTACAGCTTTTTCAGATCATGACATAATTAAAAAAAAAAAAAAACAGTTACAATAATACTCTAGTAGTGTCATAAACACTTGCTGATCTTCCTGAGCTATGATTAATTCCTCTTGTGATCAGTCACAACAGATTATGTATTACAGGCTCTGGCCACAAAACACAGTTAAACCTATCGACCCATAAAGTGTTTAGATTTTAACCTAGGTTTTTAAATAGTTTTGCTCTTACCCAACAAAAATGAACTGGCTACCAACACATTCCAAAAGCCACAAAAACCACAAGAATATAAAAAGGAAAAGAAACTGGACAGACTTCCATCCTGACCATTATAATCATACTGACTTTTGTAAAGTAATTATGCATTCAATATGGTAACTGACTATACTTACAAAGAATCCTAAAGTGGTTATGTCCTCCAGCTCTGGGGGGGCCGGAAGGTCCCAGGTTTACCCTATCTTTATCTATTTCTTCATAAAACAATAAAGTAATAATCAAAGTTCACACCAAATCATATTTTATGAAATTAAATTAAGAAATGCATAAAAGGGACTTAGAATCCAGAATATACTAATGAGAGCTACTGCTATTAATAATACTTTTACTTGATCACTTTTCACCAATCACCCCAAGGAAGGACTAAATGATAATGGCTAAAGAGCCTCCTTATTTATTTCTGGTCTTTATTTTTTATATTAAAATATGTCAGGTTTAAGATCTCACCTGTTTTGAATACGTTAAATGACTGCTCTGAAACTAATTTTAAATCTCAGTATTAGATATAAATAACAAATGGCTTTTCCATTAAGAACTACAGAGTTTTCAGTAAAGATGAAAGAAAAATTAGACACTAAAAATAAAAACCATGACCTTGCTTTTCCATAGCCAGCATGTGAAGTCTCTGTAAAAGATTTAATGGCTAATTATAATATATTTTTCTTTCTTCTTATCTATGGCACTGAATCTAGAGTCTTCGAGGAGAATACTCAAGTCATGTGGCTTATCTATTACTCTGCACTCCATCTTTCCCTCCAGTTAACACAGATTTTACACTTGTTTTATAAAACTCCTTTTTAGCATACTAAACATACATCCTGGATAGACGCAAAATTAAATTATACTCACAAAAGGAATCAGTTATTACCTAATTGTACATTATCAGTATCACCAAGACCAAGAGTTATTAATGAAAGAACAAAAAACCCTCCATTATATAACATCTGGTAAAGTCATAGTTTCTTTAATGTCACAAAACTGCCTTCTCTCATTTATATTTTTAAAATTGTATCATTCTGTAGGACTCCAAAACGCGCTGCTTCTTCACCCTGGATATTTTTTCATGCACCAATGAGCAGAGAGATACAGAAAACTGCCAAAAACAAAGTCTGTGAATTAATAGAGAAAAAATTTGAATTATACTTTTCTCAAAATGAACAGAAAGGAGATATGTAGTTCTTAGTACATATGATAAAACTGCAATTAGTCTTAAAGTTTATACCCTTGGTAAATCATACTCCATGTATAAAATTTATTATTTTAAGCCTAAGTAATAAATGGATACATATCTCCAAAATACCCCACATCACAACATCACATTCCTGATTCCTAGGAGTACACAGTTGGGGAAACCAAGACTTTCTAATTAAAATTGTATTCACTAACTATAAAGATGCTTCTAGAGGAATAAAGTATGTATGCTAAATCCCATCATCTAAAGGGACTAAGTACTACAACCTATGCCCTGAGAACAAAGTACCACTCTAATCTTTTCAGTCTTGGGACAAAGAATCTTCACACAGAGGAAGAAATTTTGGAAGCATTTATTTTCACAGAATTACCAATGTAAAGATAAGAGTAAATCCACCCATCATGATTGCAAATGGACTAATAATGGTAACATGAAAAGGAGTAGAGAAAATTCATAGTTGTTGTCAAGTTCATGAATAAGAGCATGTTCACCTCCTAGATGTAAAGACAATGCCTTGGACCTAATAGTCCTCCTTCCAGGATGTTCTATGTTTCCTGTGAGATTACCCCGAAACAAGCCAAAAACCTCCCTTCCTTTAAATGTCTTGCACACTAACAAAATCCTGTAGTTACCTCTTGGGTGGCATTTCTACTACTTTCTTAGTAAAGGAAGATGCAGTAGAAAGAAAAATAGTATCTAATCAATGCCATTTGTACTAATTTTTATTTATTTTTTCATTTATACTAATTTTGTTACCCAAAAATATGTTAAAGAAAAAGAAAATGTAAGCTGAACTGTTACAGCTAACAAAAAGACCACACAACAGTATACCTGTGCTCTAGATTTCATCATATGTAATAGTCTTTATTACAAAATAATACCTGGATTATGTCAAACTTTGTCCCATTTTGCCTTAATTAAAACTACTGCTTTGAAAATGATACCTCATGGAACTGTAATACAAGGGACACAAAAGGAACAAATAAAGAATCATAAATTAGAAGATTGGAAAACAGAATTGATAGAAAAAAATAAAATCCAGAATGATTCAAAATAAAAAATATTAATGAAATTTTGATTTGAATTTAAAATCACTTAAAAATAAAGTATATTGGAGGCGGAGGAAGATGGCAGAGAGAATGCATTTCTGGATCAATGCTCCTTGGGTTTACAGGTGAGAGTGGTGGTGCTGGATCCTTCCCTGCGTGGAGTGTTGGCACAGACAGGCAATGTAGGCTGTGCAGCAAAGAGGTGGATTGCTGGACTGGAATTGTGATCCTAAACAAACAGTGCTATCAGCCAGAGAAAACTCAGTGCTGCAACTGAAGAAGCACTAGCTGCTGCCACGATGGCCAGCGGCCGGTAGCCAGTGGCCTGAGAAGGCAGCAACCAACCCCTCCCCCACGGAGGACTGTTGTTCCCAATTAGTAGGGAGTTTGGGTGTTTTACGAGAGCGTGGTGAGGCGTTGACTCCCGCAAGGAATTCGGGACCAGAAAGGGGAGCAGTTTGGAACCCATTGGAGAGTCAGGGGTCTAAGTGGTAGACAGAAAAGTGAGAGGAAAAGACCCTGCTTAGGAAACCGACACACTTTATAATTTTAGAAAAGTCTTTGTGGTGCCACGCTGTTAGCCACAGCGGCAAACAAACCCTCCCCTATGGAGACAGAAAAATCTTTTGTGCTCGGTGCTGAGTATGCAGGCATCTACGGCAGCCCGGCCCGCAGAGGTGGAAGGCTCTTTTGTGCTCCACTCAAGAGTCCGCGGTGGCCGGTCCCCCAACTTGCGTAGGCTGAGGGCTCTTCAGTGCACAGTGCTGAGTCCACAGGCATCTGCTGGCCATTCTCTCACGGAGATTGGAAACTATTTTGTGCTCCGTGCTGAATCCACGGGCATCAGTGGCAACCAGCCCCTTCCCCACGGAAGATTACAATTTCCAGTTCAAGGGGAAACTAGGAGTTGAATGGACAACTTGGTGAAGTGTGGACACCTATGCCAAATTTGGAGGGTAGATAGGGGTGTCATCTAGGACAGGACAGCCGAGGCCGGGCGGCCAGTCAGGAAGCAGACATATTGTGAAACTCCAAAAATGGCATCTCCATAGCACTGCTTCCTATGGACCAGTTGCTGAGAGTGCATACAGCAGTCTAATAGAGTTTTTTTTTCTTCTTCTCTTTTTCTTTATCATTTTATGATTACATTGTTTTTTGTTGTTTCTTTTTTGTCTGTTTGTCTACTTGTTTCTGATTGTGCATCTGTGTACTTGTGTGTCTGGTAGCATTCCTATTTGTTCGTTTGGTGTCAATGTGTTTTGCACTTTGCTAAATATTTGGATTGGCTATTTTCCCTAACTCCAATTTTCACATTCAAC